ATCGCGCGGTGCTTCCGGTCGGGCAATCGCGTAAGGCGACGCGTTCGCCGAGGAATTATTCATGAGGTAGTGCCTCTTTTGCTGATAAGTATGGCGTGAGGCGACATAGCATATATGCACCAATGTGTATCGCTTGCAATAGCTATGAGGCAGAAGTTGGCAAGCGAGCGGAGCGGGAAACCCCGCCCATGGATATTTTTTACATACCACCGCAATTTTATTTAAAAAGTTTTAATTAAAATTTGCGAATTTTATGTAAGAACTATAGGCGGAATATACATATAACGGTGGTAGGGCCACGCAGCAGCCTCGGCTGTTGCACGAATGGGCAGGCCCGTCCGGGTAAGTACCACGACCTCACAGAAGACCAGCGTAAAGTGGAAGTATGACAAATACTTTCGTGTTTCGTCTGGTGAGTGAGGTAGCCGGAGCCCAATTTTCAAAAGGTTGTCAACGCATCTGTAACCCGCGGGTGTAGCAGATGTCCATGGGCGGCGGTATTCACTTAACATCAGGCGAACCGTGTGCTCGTTTGACAACTTTTTGCATAAAAAAAAAAAAAAAGGCAAGCAATTGGCACTGGTACACCTGATATTAAGTAATAAGAACCATGGACATTTGCAACACCCTTAGGGTTGCAGCTGCGTTGCCACCTTTTTAGGATAGACCCCGGTTACCTCACTTCCAATTCAAGGTGTCTTCAGTGATGCCTTGATGCTTCCCCGGGCGAGACTTCCCATTTGTATGAAGGCCCTTACATTTTAATACAGTTAGTCCCCGAAAGTCGCTTTAGCTCCCTCTGGCGTTGTCAGGTGCAAGTTTCAGTCGTTATTGAGCTGCGCAGTAGCTTGTTGTTGCTTTTGCTTTGTCTTTTTTTTATGTGAAAAGTTTCCAAGCGAGCAGGCGGTTCACCTGATGTTAACATCTGCTACGCCCGAGGGTTGCAGATGCGTTGGACAACCTTTTGAAAATTGGGCTCCGGCCACCTCACTCACCAGACGAAACGCGAAAGTATTATACTTCCACTTTACGCCGGTCTTCCGTGAGGTCGTGATACTTACCCGGACGAGCCTGCCCATTCGTGCAACAACCGAGGCTGCTGTTCTCTACCACCGTTGCTTAAATGATCTTATCTAGAAGTACCACTGCTACGTCAAAAGCATGGTGTCGTAGTGTGTGTGTCGTGTAATTCTTTTGCAACTCGATTGACGTGCGGGGTAACTCCGGGCCGTTCAAATACAAATATGGAAAGGTGTTGATCGTTTTAAATTTAAAGGCAAATACGGATTCGTGATCCACCAAAGCACCTATACGCAACTCTACCATAAAGATTCCGTTTTAAGCGTTTCGTTTCTCGATTCGTATTATAGTAATTTTATGTCATCAGTCGTTTTTTTTATTTATTGCCCTTACTGTACGATATCATTATCCCGTGTTGTATGAGCGTTTTAAATATCACGTGGCCAGACACCGAAACCAAAAACCACGGCAACTGCGCCACACAACCATCATTTAATCGATCCAATTGAGAAAACAGCTTCAGTCAAAAGGTCCGAATTAACATATGACGCTCACCAGACATTAGCTGAACAGTTCGAAAGGCGAAAAGCGAAACAGTAAACTAAGGAACACGTTCAACAAGACACTACGGTGAATACGAATGGCGGGCACTTTGCTGCAATGCGCCGCATAATCAGACCACATCGAAATCGATTACGAATTTAAACAAACGCGGGGAACCGGTTTCCTTTTCACGGCGCATTCCTCGTGATGTATGGAAGAGCGGCGAAAGTCTCTCGGATTTCGGTATACCAAGTGACTGCTTGCGATTCGCATTAGGCGCTCATTTGGCGATGATAATTCATGCAAACAGCGAATCGCACCGATACAGCATAGACAAACAGACCCGTCGCGGACGACGGCGAAAGTTTGTTTATGCCGTTTTCGGGTGGAGACCGCTTTCGCTCGCGGGCGCGGGTTATTATGCAAGGGCACCTGTAAAGCGCAGTGTCGCTTTGTTTCATTTGCGCTTGCATTTCGATAGCACTATAGAGTTGTGAACGTTTCAACATTGGCACAAGTTCCCACTTCCGTCTCTTGGGATAGACGTCTCGACCGCGAAATGAGCGAAGCCATTAACGATCCCGTTTAACTTGCAACTATAATTTTCATAGTTGACGCTAGACTAACAGGCTAGACTGCAAAAGGCTCTAGCCTTTCGCAGTCTCTCTCATGTCTTTGCTGAGAGAGCAAAAATGGGCGAAAACAACGCTGTGTTGGTTGTGAGTTTCGAGAGTTGGAGCGAGGTGTCCCGTCCTGCTCACGCCCCTAGCTCGCCCGATTGTAGGGATGCGCGTGCGCTTCGTTTAGTGCTTTGTTCTACCGTTCCGTAGCAAATACGTCGCAACACTAACACCGCTGGCAGCTCATTTATGTCCAGCTTCTACACATAAATGTATTTAACAATTTCTCGCTGTCAAAACCTCGACCAGTTCAACGTTGTTCGCTCATTTTGCGGTCGAGCTCGGGGTTTACGATGGATGTGAACGAGGTGAACATTGCGTCAGAAATGTGTGAAATGACACGCCAATGACGCATCAGCTCAGTAAGCTTCTACAATCTTCCCTTGAACATGCCCATTTCATATGCGACGGAAAGACAGACAGGCAATTTGCTTCAATCTTTCGCTTAACGTATATACACTAAGCAAAGCGGTACCCAATTGAGGTCGAAAGATGCAAGCATGAAATTATACGAGACTAGGGTATAAATCTCAGCGATGATATCACTAACTTCGAATTAGTATTTACGAGTATTTCGAATACAGCGATTTATTGTATTTACGTGAATACTATACATGGTTAACTAACTCGTACAATAGAGTTGAGTTTGGATTTTATACCATTTTATTTCTGACGTTTTGAACGTTTTAAAACATAAATATCGCGAATATCTTAAAGATTACGACGTCCATGCAGTGGAAGTAGTAATAAAATGCTAATTTAATTCTCAACAACAATTTTTGGGTGTTATGGTTTGTTGTGTATCTTATAATGGCAATAAAAACATCAATGGCCTTATCTAAAAAATAAAAAGTTTTAACGTCATTAGACTGACAATGCGGTACAAGAGGGAGGGCAAACATTTTCGAAAGCGCTAGAAAAACGCGTTGTTATGGCGCGAATAAAACAACTTTAGGATTGGAGGGGAATTGAAAAGAAATCTAATTTATAACAGCATTGTTGTTGACTTTATTGGATCACGTAAATGTGTTTCTCTAATGTATATTTAAGTTCAAACGTCACCCAAATATAATAACTAGGTGCAAGCTATATTCGCTGAATAAGATTGCAAATAGTTCATATATATTAGGCTCATACATTAATCATAAGCCAACTGTATTTGGACCTGTGAGAGTAAGAAAAGATCGATACAAAAAAGAGACTGACAGTGAGTGCATTTCATTCAGAGTAAAACCGAAATCCATCACTCTTTGAAAGCCGTATACCTCACATCGCAAATATGCTGTAATAGCAAGAATGTGCAAGTTTAATTCAAATGTATTAAGATAAAAATTTGTTTCCTTCTTTATGTGTTACCTTTTTAATATTTATAAGACCATTAATAATTATAAATCGGTCATAATATATCTGTTTAATAATTATTTTTTTTTTACCTTTCAATAAGGTATAACATATACATGCAGTTATTTGATATTATAATGAATAACACGATGTCGAGGCTTGCCAGCATATGAAAAATAAAATTTAAAGACGTCTATAACACACTGGGAAGATAACAGCTACCGAGGCCTTGGCAAATATGGTTCAAACGATAATTTTCCGCGGTCAAGTGCTATAAAGCGGGGACATATCGACGTACGTCACCGAGGAAATTGGCATAGTGCCAGCCAGAGCACAGGTGACGTGCAAACAGAGGCTTCTAGGCACCTATTACATAACATGGCAATCATAAAAAAATAATTTCTCTGTGATACATGATATATTATATAGAGCTAGTTTATTGGGCCCAAACAGCGAAATAGATTACTTTGCATCTCAGCAAAATGTCCCCCCCCCCCCCCCTCCCATCTCTATCGATCCCCAGTTCCTGAGGGATGGATATGGAGAGCTATTCGAAACGTACAATTTCAGCCCGTCGATAAACAACGTGGTAAGTCGAAGATCGATGTCGCGCCTGACAACTAGTGTTAAATACATTGACAATGAACACATAGCGCTGCCTTATAATTCGATGTTTATCATGCAAGAATTCATTATTTATTATAATAAAACAAATAATTTCTTGATAAAAAAATAATCGTATCCAGTGTTGTGAGGACATATATGGACTGTACACGAATAAATAAACAGTCAGATGTAGGAAAAATAAAAAAGTTTGCATAATCCGCGATCCCATAGACAACGACTTGCAACTGCTGCCATCATGTTTTTTTGTTGTAAAAATACTTAATTTCCATTAATCCAATTTAGTAGAAAGAAGAGACAACGATAGTCTAGTGGCTAGTGATGTGGACTTGCGAATCGAACTCGCGAGTTTTTATCACGGTGGCACGTGTTAAATATAAACAATTTATGTGGAAATGCGATTACTGAATGTAAATTACTCTGTGATCGGCTACAGGGTCACCATAATTTAGAGTTTATTAATAATTCCCATAATAATTATTTTTGTTATCTAAACCAATCTCTACATTTAGCTACACTGTGTTCGAATCTAGATGTCAAATGGCTGCAAGTGACGTCGGTCACAAATGCCGGTGATTTACGTGTCAATGTGTTATCATAACAGTTATATCTGTATAATGCAAGAATACTACGATGGCTAATACGCCACTCCAAAACCTTTCTTCCCATCGATCATCGAGCTATATGGCCTGCTCATTGCGCAATGTTCTATTGCGGATTCTTCATAGCGGACTCTATCTATAATTTCATAGACTAGTGTTGTATCATTTCATAGTCTGCTTCCTTTCTTACCTTGTGATAGGTGTCCTTCTGCCAGTTCTTTATTTGCGCGATGACGTCATTCACGAGACGATCCCTCACGCTGAGGTGGAGGTCCGAGAGGCGCTCCGCCTCAACCATGCCGCCCTTCCACGCCGCCTCCATTGTGCCATACTCCGGACCTGATGAAATGGTAGACATTCAGTGACTCCCACTTTGTGGCGTTACACATTACAATATCACAACCGACAAATTCAAAGTTGACTTATATATCAAGTATTAAGTTTGCCTTTGTTTAGCCTTAAGTTGAGGTGTAAACAATAAATTTTTAAACCTATAAATCTCTGTGTAACTAACTTAGTTACACAGATCAATCAGAAGTATACAACAGGAGCTTTCTGTCCTCCGGTTGTCATTAAAAGGAGAGGAAAAATTAATGGGAGGGGGGGGTTGTACAGACGTGTGTGACAGTGGCTAAATAATACTGGATCTTAGAATGAGGATCTTAGAAATTTGTAAGCTGTGATTAATTTTATTTTTAGTGCTAGCCTCTGCTCTAGATCGAACTTTAAATTTTATTTTTGTAGATTTGTAATCTCTATAAATCGCACTAAGCACTTTGATATCCGTGAAGAGCCGTGATAGCTCAGTGTCCGGGTGCTCGCCTTTAATTCAATATACTCCGAGCAACCTGAGTTCGATCCCCGGTGCCGGCACCAATAAAGTTTTTAACTTTAAGTGCTGACTTATCACGTGCTCCGCGGTGAAGGAAAACATCGTGAGGAAACCTGCATATTTTCGAAATAATAACAAAAACAAAATATTTTTCGAAGATATGTGAAGTCCGCCAATCCGCAGTGGGGTCGCGTGGTGGACTATGCCCTGATACCCTCTGTATAGGAGAGGCCTTGGTCCAGCAGTGGGACATGTAGGCTGTTACTTACTACTACTTTGATATCGTCATTACTTACAGTACCTTGCATTCTCACTACTACTTCTAATACAATTAACGGCGCACGTGTTTTCACTGAATAAAATCCACAAAATGCACAACTAACCATTATTAGGGTGGTACAAACAAAGACAATAGCCATAAACGAACTAGAATTCGAAGCGAGAAATGCGAATCTTCAAAGATGAGAGCAACGAGCCTTTACAAAATCAAGGCAAGTAGCGGAAAATAAAAGTATCGCGATAAACGTTCGCTTGAGTGTTTAGAAAAGAATCTTGTTTTCGTCTCGGATCACTCAGTGTCTGGAAAATAAACGATGTAGAAAGAGAGAATGTTTAAAAAGAACGCGAGAGCAAAAAAATTGATGAACTGTTTGAGGTGTTTGACGAAAAAAGCGTTTATGTTGAAGGTACAATTGTTTAACAGAGACGTACGTTACGACTCCAACTCAAAAGAAATTGAATCAAACTGAAATGTTATCATGTAAATCTAACGATATCACAATTGTTTTAAGCGAGTATTTAAATATATCACTTTGACCTAAGTTCACCGGCCTTTGTTCAGTTAAAAAGAAATTCCAAATACACAGAGCAAGTGGAACATTCTATTCGTCGTATTTTACTTCAAGAAATTGGCGCAAAAAACTTAGAAATATTGTATTGGTCGTGTTCAATGACCCTCTGTTTAGATGAAGGCGCACAATTGAGATGGAGTTCCAAGTTCGAACGTGCTCCGAAGTAATGACTTCCGAGGAAACTATTGGCACGCCTCCAGTTTGGCCAACGCAGACATGTCCCCTCAAGAGTGTAAATAATTGAATCGAGGTGTTATAAACGTATGGACTTGTTCCATTGACCGAGATATTTGCGACCTTCGTCTATTAATTTTTGAACGTACAGTCGGCGCAGATGTTAAATTGTCGGCTTTGGGGTCACGAGTCGTAGATTTGTGCCGATGGGTATTTATATTAATGGTCATAATCTGAATTATTAAATGCAGTCTGTGTAGAAACTTCGGAAGTTGAAAATGCATTAAACGATGTGAGATCTCTAACGATTTACATAGCGGCCATGGAAAAGAACTAATTTTTGAAATCTGTTGTGAATTAGGTAGTTACTTAAAATAATAGCGGGTTGCCAGAGTGAAGGCTTATGTAAATAGAGGGTTACTAATAATTTGGTTGATGGTGCATCCGCCGAAAACGACAGTTATTTCATTTGTCGTAGTTATTATTGAGCGCAGATGCCTCATGACGGACTACACCTAACTCTGGACGGAAAGGGTAGCGGGTTTGTAAAAGTGTGTAAAAATACACATGTTTAGGCTAATACACAAGCCTGCTACCATACCCTAAGGCGATATTTTTTGCGGGAAGGTGACAAGCGAGCGGGTGATGATTGTGGTTGCACTGATGTTGTAAAGTGGACCGACAAATACCGTCTAAGGAAATCCACAAGAACTTGGTTGCAGATCCGTTGCTATCCTTTAAAAGCCCACCATACGCAATAGTGTCTGTCTACGGGAGAAGATTGTAAGCGATTCGGCGGTGTCACTTGTTTGTGATGAACCATGGACAAATATCATCTATAGACACAACTGCAGGATAGCTGATGCATTGCCAACGATTAAAAGCGCTGCTCTGGGTTTCCTTACTGGAAACGCCAAAGTATAATCCTTCCACTTCACGCCGCTCGAGCCTGCCCATTCGTGCAACAGATTGTGATGCGTTGCCCTACCACAGTAACATCCAAATGAGTTGGGGTACCATAACTGTCATTCGCAGTCAAATAAGGGGTCTCCGCCGACCGTAATTTTGGCAATTTACTTGTCAACGAGTGAAATTAAATCAAGTAAGATGTAAACGAGTGCTGTAACAGCTACGTAATTGGTAAGTGGAAACATTAAAGGGAAAAAAAAATGCAAGCGAGTATTGCGACGCCGCACTGGTTCGAGTTATTTAAAAGATAACGTCCAAAACTAGTCAGTGGGTTCAATTTAGGTACTGCGAAAACATTTAAATTTTAACTTTCTATTATGAGGCAGACAAAACGAATTGTTGTCTTCACAACAGTATATATGAAACCTAAAGCGCTATTTTCATTTGCGAATGTTACGGAGTTATCTTATGAGCAGGTGGTTCACCTTTACAAGAGTGGGCACCGGTTACCTCGGTAAAACCGCGAAAAAATATAGCGCTTCTATTTCTTGTCGGTCTTCTGTGTAACCGAGCTACTTCCCCGGACGATCCTGCCCATTCGTGCAACAGCAGAAGCTGCTGTGTGTGGCCATACTACAATAAATTTAAATATAATCCCTTAAAATTTGTAGAAAACACTGAAAAAGACATTCGCCGCTACGGGAATCGAACCAACTTATTCCGGTTAGACGCTTTAACCACTAAACTAAACGGCTAATTACCGTATAATATAAATAGAAACTGAAGTTTGTCCAGACAGATGAAGAATGTTAAAAATTATCAATCTCCGCATACCTTCAATCTGTAACGCCTGTAATTGAGATCGAATCGCGCTCGATGGTATAATTTTGGGCTGTTATAAAGCGAGACAAAATAAAAATAAAAAACATTTAACACGGAACCCTAAGGTCTTGCAACATCTCAATCGCACGCGAGAATAACCACTGCTTCCTTTAAAGGTGTAATCATACGAAATACGGCCTCTGTGAAACCATACGCAACTTTAGAAAACGCCACATCGCGTGAGCTTAAAAATGTTCCATTACCCAACACCAGCGATTATGAAATACTGACAAATACTCGTAATGACATTCATCTCGTCTGCCCCGTCGGTACTAAAAGCATTCGGAATAACATTTGTTTTATTTACGTTTATCTCGCAGGCACTAGAGGCGTTCAACCATTAGGATGTCTCTGAATTGGTTATGGTCTTATGTGTACTAAAGCAATAAGTTTACGGGATCATTTTATTCACCTAAATAATGCGTAAATGTCACCATAGACTGAGAAAAATTGTATAAGATAAAAATAAAGTTTGGTGCCTGGTGAAAATCATTTTGTATAGAATTTCATAACCATAAATTGACATGGCCAAGACAGTAAAAATGCCAAGTACTGATGGAGGATTTTTATAAATAAATCAAGATTTGTAAGATCGACAACCGCTACGACTGATACTCGTATTTGTGCCAAAAAGTTTATATTATATATGAACGACAATGACATTTAGCAAAGAAGTTCTTTTAACGATAACATGTATAGTATAATTTATATAGAATAATGGAAACCAAGTCCTTGTAATGAAAAACAAATATAAAAAATCATCGCAGTTAAACTAAATATTAGAAATATAGTGCAGTGTGCCATCGAGGAATAGGTACAGCCACATGAGATATCTTTGAAAATTATTTTCCTATTTCGAATCGCCTATCATTTCTTATAGGAATCTATCAAAATTGGTTCAATGACAAATGTAGCAGAAATTATGCCTCATATTCTGATACAACACCACATATATCATTAATTTACTGCTACTACTTTAAATATTTGATTTTGAAGATATTTGTAACTTCATGGTTCACCTCAGGTTGCTTGAGTTTTATATATTTAATACCTAACTTACAGAATGTTTCTTTTTTTTATGTGGGAAAGTGGCAAACGGGCTGGTGGTTCACCTAATGTTAAGTGATAACCGCCGCCCACGGACATATGCAACACCGGTTGCAGATGTGTTGCCACCCTTTAATAATGTAGGCCCCGGCACCTCATTCACCAGACGAAGCGCAGAAGTGTAACACTTCTTTCTACATTACGCCGGTCTTCAGCGAAGTCGTGGTACCAACCCGGACGGACCTGCCGATGGACGAATACTGTTGCGTGGTCCTACTGTTTAAAATACTTTGAAAAGAGAACTTGTTTATGAAGGTACTCGTTTTTTTTTTGTTAATGCAAATCCCATCTTTGACCTCTGCAAGTAAATGCAAAAGCGTGTGTAATGTTTAATCCTTTTATAGAACATACAAATATTAGACGAAATTATATTATCTATTAACGGGTTTAAGAAATTTATTAAATAAAAACTTTTTTAAAAGGGTTATTACAATATAAAAGAGTACATTAACGATAATAACCCCTGGGAATGAGATGATCGCTCCTAAGCTGTTTCTAAATAAAAAAAGTTGTACTGTATAACAATGTATTTTTGTTTGAAAAAAAAAATGACAAAAAAGAGGATACCTACGTAGTTTCTTATG